TGGAAGAAGCGCCTCCCTCCCCTGACACTCTCCTTCCATTTTGTGTGTTTAACAGAGGGGGCTGTCCATTTTCTTAAACCAAACCCCACTCTTGGAATGAAATTCTCATCCCATTTTGTCTGTCCTGCTTTTTATATTTCATCAAGTTCAGTTAGTAACAGTTAAAGGATTATCAATCCTTACACAGTCTTCAAATGGAAGGTTACATCATCTGCCTGATCAGAATGACATTTCCAGCTTTCTGATCTAACAAGGTGTGGATGTTGTTTAGTAACTGTGGTGGTGTCCATTCCAAAACGTGGGTCAGACTGTGTGAGTGGAAGTGTTTGATGCAGACTGGCACAGCAGAAAACTACTGGGAAAGTGATGTAAAACTTTCCTGCCTCAGTTACAAAGCAGAGCCCAGAAGAGTAAGACAGGAACTAAGCTGGTGTTCTGCAGTTGTGTATTGTCCCTCTCAGAGGAGAAACAGCCCATGATAATGTTACTGCTCTGATTTTGGTAGGATTTTGATTTTGTGCCTCAGGGCAGAGGGGAAGACATGAATCTGAAATGCTCCTGAAGGCAGGTAGCCCCTCTTGTTAAAAACTGGACAAAGCTCACCCTTCTTTTCTTTCTGAAACATGGCTCTGGGGATGAGAAATGTGTGTGAGGGAGACATTTCCCGTCCATGCAGCTTTGGAGTGGGGAATGCTCTCATCTAAAATTCTTGTGAGATCCAGAACTGGTTCCTTCCTGTTTCTTAAACATTTGTTGGATACCTCTAAAAACCATCCTAGGAGCAAGATGTCTCAGCTTCGCTTTACTCAAGTCAGTACATTTGCTGGCATTTTAACTTCCTTTCTATGTAAGAAGAGAAACTGTGAGTTGGTCATTTTTCTGTCTGCCCAGGATCTGGATGGCCTGGAGGTGATTGGTAAAGGGCAGCCTTTCACCTCTGTCTCAGCAGAGTCTTTTCCAGGTTCCACCACTTCTGAAGAGTTGCAGACCGAGCAAGTTTTACTCCATGGCAGAAACAAAGAATTTGGGGGATGCACCACCAATCTGAAAGGGTATCCTTAGCTGCTGTTGTCCAGAACAGAGAAGAGTCTCCACTGGGGCAAGACAAAAGACATATTCTAACATTATAATCACCAGATTTAGGAATTGAGTAGTTCCTTTTTGCCTTGGGGCCTTGTGCCTAATGAGCAAGAATCAGAGAAAAGGTTTTTGGAGGCCTTTCCTCCAGTCTTCCCTCTGTGTGGCTCCAGAGCTTACATGAGGCAGGGTGGGTATTCTGCCCTTCTGGTTGTCTTTTTCCAGCCTCCCACTGCCATCATTAATTTGCCTTTTTCCTCCCATCTTGTCCACCTGTAATGGGCACAACCCGAGGGTCTCTTCTCCTTATTCACTCACCTACCCTCAGCCCTCCCTAGGCAGGTTTCCCTCGTTAATACAATGTCCTTGATGGTGACAAGTAGCCAGCTGGAGTCCACCACGTCCGCAGGGCTCTGTCCCTGATGTCCTTGATGGTGACAAGTAGCCAGCTGGAGCCCAAGGAGATGACTCTCTGGAAAAGCATTAGTTGGGATTATTTCTTACAGGGTCTTGTAAATCACCCCTGACAGTGGATTTCCCTCTACAAAAATGCTGGCTCTTGGGGGGGTTGTTTTTTGTTTTTTTTTTCAGGAGTGACTCCTTAGATGACTCCTCTGATGTGGTTCCAGAAGCAGTAGTGGGTCCATCTTTAGATTTCTGTGGCCAGCCTGCTCGTTGGATCAACTGCATCACTCCTTGCAGGGTAACTGTGTGCTCTTTATTGGTCAGTCAGGCTGAGCCTGCTTGGGTTCCCAAGTCACAGCTGTACAGTGTGTCACTCCCAGGCCAGAGGATTGGGGGGTTATCCTGAGCATAATGGGGTGTTCCTACATTTGCTCTGGAGAGATCCAGAAACAGAAGGACTCGCTTTGTCTGTGGTGGGAAGCTCAGATTCCCAGGGGCTCTCTGTGTAATGGCCACTTCGTTGGACCTGCCTTACAAGTTTTCCCACCAAGGCTTAACCCCTTATTTGTGATATGACTTCAGGTGAGATAAATCCTGCCAGACAGAGTAGAAGTTGTGTTTGGCTTTTTCCTCTTCCCTGTAGGATGCAATTGGCATAGCTGCCCGGCTCACCTTTGAGACTTTGGCTGGTGAGAAAGCTGAAAGCTCCCTGACGGTGAGCAACAATGGCACAGCTGCCATCTGGTATAACTGGATGAGGCTTTCCCACAGGATACCCTCCAGAGAAACCAAGGGGAAGACAATGCAGTGTTTCTACTTTGATACCAGACCAGGTATGAGAGCTGCTGATCCCTGGGACCTTTGTACATAGACCGGGAAGAAGTAATTGGGAGTTATCAGAGACGTGGAGCCTGACTAATGGCAGAGTGAGCCTGCTGGGTGATTCTCCCTAGGAAGCCACCCTGGGCGTTGGAGCTGACTCACACCAAGAGAGGTGTGTGAGGCAGATCCCTTTTTCCTGGGGCTTACAGGAAAGGAGGGTGCTCCTACTCTGGGTGTAAATGGGTGGAATATTGAAATGTGAATAATTTTCTGGTGGCAAACTGGGCATCATCTGCCCGAGAGAGTACTGATGTTGCTGTAAAAGGAGCATGCACTGGAAACAAGATCAGTTTGGTGACATGGTGACTGGGAGGAAGTCTGAAAGGAGAAAAATGGCTGGGGGAAGTGTGAAAAAATTGTACAGAGACAAGGGCACATGGGGTGAAGTTGGAAAAGGATCATGTCAACCAGGTGGCTTCTTGCAGGCTGATGCATTTTTTCCTGTCTGGTTTCAGGTGTAATTCTGCCTGGAGAAACTAGGAAGTTTTCCTTTCTTTTCAAGTCAGAGAGAGCAGGCATTTTCAGTGAGTCCTGGGAATTCAGGACACATCCTGTGTTATTAGGAGGAGCTCTGCTGCAGGTGACCCTTTGGGGAATTGCTGTGTGTGAGGACAAGCTGGCTGACTTCCGAGAGAAACTGGAGGTAACCAAGCATGGAACAGGGTAACTGAGCTTTGAACTTAATATGCAAATAGAGGATAAGTTGGGGAGTGGATGACATGGTATTTTTATTGCCACACTATTAGTGCTGAGCGATGATTATGTACTTGCAGAACATCTGTACATACTTGAGGAGGTTTGGAAGAATGCTGCAGTCTGTGCTGTTGTTAGTAAGAACATAATTGTGCCTCCTAAACTGGGCACACTGGGCCTTCAAAGAATGAATTTTCTGTTGGTAATGAATTTCCTGAGTTACTTAGTGGGATGGGATTAGGGGTTGTATCTATATAACTGTGATCTGAGTTAGTGTATAAACGGAAAATTGCACTGTGCTTTGAAAAGTGTAGTTTGGGGGGAGGATTTGTAGGGTGTATTTGGAAAGCTGTTGTAAGTATTGCACTGCTTAGTGGGGTTTGCAGTTATTCCTGTGCTTGTAGCCCTCTGTAACGTCTACCTGTGGTTACTGGCGTGGGTGTGAATTTGTTTGTGTGTCTGTATATGGAACGGGGACTGACACATGTTGTTCTTGTTGTGGTGCCTCAGAGGGACCTGGCTGCTCGAGAAGGTGCTGCTATAGTAGAAGAGAGTGTGAAGGAGCTCCTTGTCCGAATTAGGACCCCAGAGCGCACGCCGTCCCCTGTGGGTGCCTATGCCACAGAGGAGGAGTTGTTTCACCAGAAGAATCCTGAGGTGACATTTGCTATTTGATGGGCTACACAACTGAAATAGCAGGGAGGGGAGACCCATAGGGCTGATGCATCCTGGGGTTTCTGGAGCCTGGTGCCTAACAGTGAGGTGTAGAGGAAAGGCACAGCTTGTTTCACTACTCACCTTTTTCCTGTTATCACAGTTGCATTATCAGCATCGGGTGGTAAAGCAGCTGCATGAACTGTGGAGACAGCATGTGACTGTTCCTTCAGCCTTCGAGGAGAGTGTGTCCTCAGGCCAGGAGAACACTGTGGAGGACATGCAGTACCAGGAGGGCATCTCAGGGGCTCTCTCTGCTCAGAGCAGCACCTCGGAGGTTGCAGGCTGGAAGAACACACTCAAGGAGGCTCCAAGTCAACTGAGGAGCTCGGAGGAGGAAGAACCAGGCCCCTCAGGATGGAACCTCTCCTTCGAGGACTTTAAGCAGGTGGCCATCCCTGTTCCTGCTGGTGTTTCCATTTCCCTATGAATAACCTGGGCTGCCCCAGTGTGAGCCCACCCAAAGGTCTGCTGCCAACGTGCTGTGAGTCAGAGATGATTTATGGTGTGTGGCAGGAAAGCGCTTCAGCTCCGCTGACCACACCCTCGGTGCTCTTGTAAAGAGATTCCCAAGAGAGGCTTTGAGGGTGGTTGTGTGAAGAAGAAAAGAGAACCACGCAATAGTAATAGATATTTTAAGCTCTTCCCCCATTAGCTTTCTTGTCATCCCAGGACTGAATGTGGGGGATGGGCTAATCTGACAGCCTCCTGTAGCTTCCGCAAGGGCTCTGCTCCTTGGAGAGTCCTTCTTATTCGTCAGAGCTTGAAGGGGGCACTCGTGCCAGGCTGTGGATAAAGTACAGGCCTCCCTAAATGAGAGCCAGAGCGGTTTGGGTTCTATCAGCATGGTTCTTCTGTAGTGCTCTCTTGCAGACCTCAGCTGCTTTTATAGCTGATACTTACTTTGGGGCTTTCTAGCTTATTAGAATCCTTGTTCTCCAGCACACCTATAACATTGCAAAGGGGCTTACTGTGAACCTAACTGGGGGTTTTGGGTTTGCTCTCAACATCCTGGGTCGTGTCTGCACCTCGGCCAAATCCGCCCAGGAGCTGGGTGTGTAGGTGCCCAGTGCAGCCTGTTGTCAGAGCAGTGCCCAGGAAGGGAGCAGTGGAGTGCTCTGCTGAGCTCAGGGCCCAGGTAACTGGCAGTGAAGGCTGAGAAGTGCTTGCTCCATGAACCCCGTGTTTTCTCTCACGTCAGGCTATAAAGTCAATTCCCAAGGAGGAGCAGCGAGAAGAAGCCCTGGCCCAGCTCAACAAGGCAGCACTGGAGCTGTGTGTTGAACAGAGGCCAACTCAGTCAGACCTTTTGTATCAAATCTGGTGCGTTATGTTGGCAAGATAAAGCTCGTAAATGTTTTGTGTGATCAGCAGCCTTAGCAAGCTCTGTTGCAAGCATTGTGATGTGGAGTGCAGATAATTATACAGGGTCTAGAAGTCTTCTCTACACTCTGCGTTTTTTATAGCTTCATTTTAGCACCTGTCTAGGACCCAAGTGTCTCTTTATTTTTCTGGAGATAAACAGAGAATGTTAAATTCATTTAATTTTGGGGAGTATGCAAGGTTATTTCTGGCAAGATTATTCTAGTCTATCTTTGTGAAACCTTTGGGTAATTTTCTGTACCCTTTCCTTCAGGTGACTGTATCCTTCCTCATACAGTCTCTCTGTTCTTCACTCAGGCTTTCAGACTAAACATATCAACAGCTTCTAGTTGCTTCTCAACTAGAAGGGTGCAGGTTCCTCTTGCTAAACACAGGAAGCAGGTTGGTGCTGATTTACCAACGTCTGTCATGTTGAGGAGCAGGAGATCTCGTTTCCTGGTAATGTTTATGGGTCCCTATGAACCCATTGGTTTTCAAACCACTGAGACTTCAGAGGGCTCGAACACGAGGAGAGTAATTTAGCATCCCTCTGCCCGGATTTTGACATGGTGGGTGCTGTTTCATGGGTTTAGTTGGACAGAGCAGCTCTCAGCTGTAGGGCACAGGGGAAAACCCAATGAGAATTGCTGTAGTCTTCCTTATTCTGGTCCTTTCCTCAGTCTCCAGCTCTGGCGAGAAACAGTTGATCGTCTGGTGAGTCACTCTGTGAAGCTGAGGTCCCTGCTTGGCTTGCCTGAGAAGGACACCTATGTAGATACTGTTCCTGAGGAAACAGGTAAATGATAGTTTTAGCACAGCAAACAGTTCCTGTGGACTGTTGGAAATCCAGAAGACATGCTGAATTTCCTCTGAAATGGCAATTTCAGCAGTTCCCCCGCAAAGCTTTTATGAGAGAATGCATCAGAAAAAATGGCAGGTTGTGATCTGTGGTTTGGTGCCATTAAAAATCACCACAAAAACAAGCCTTTTAATTTAGACAGACCACGATTTTTTGCACAGACTAACCCAGAAAACCCAATCTCCCTCCTAGCTGTCTTGTTCTGACACATGTCTGAGATCTGTTCATTCCTTATTCAAACCAAGCTCTCTTCAAGGTATTGTTTTTCAGTGCAGTACAGCTCAGATTAATAATACGTGGCAGAAGTAACCTATTTCCACTGCAGGAGTGCATTGGGCTTGTCTTTCTGGGTGTGAAAATGTTGCTTTTGGGTAATTGGAATTCCTTCTTTAGTAGTGCAAGTAAAACAACCTATAAAAGGAGGAAAAGAAGACAGAGTAACGGCTTGGCAAGAAGAGAGAAAGTCATTTGGTAGTAAGGATAAAGAAGGGAAAAGAAGAACAAAAAGAGGTACGTGTTGGGATGCTTGTGGAAACCTGAGTGCTGGGGACAGACAGACCTCTGTTCTGAGGTGGTGTATCCAGAGTTTGAGCTGATTTCCAGCCCAGTGAAGGAGGTGCTGCTTCTGGCAGGTGTATCTCACGACAGCCTGACAGGCGTTCTCACCTGTGCCACTTTTGTCCCTGAACAGTAATGTCCAAGCACCAGAAAGGTAAAAGTAAAAGATGAGAAAAAGCTGAAATCTTCCACTTCATTGCAGGAGGTGAAAGAGGGGGCGCAGCCCATGGAAGCTGTAACTACAGGTAGAGCAGGACCTCCTCAGGAGCAGGTGGACCCTGTTTTGTTTGGGACATACCAGGAAAAACTTTATGTTGAAGTGAGTCTGACCAAAGGTTGCATCTTTGTTCCTTGTTTGTGTTCTTTGCTTGTAAGCTGACAGTGAAGCTTAGGTGGAGAGACAAGCCTTTTGTTAAACTGGGAACACTGACAAACATTTGCCCATAATCCTGTAGTGAGGTAAGTGTGGAACGCAAGGTGAGGTGTCCTTCATTCCAGCCTGGAACCTACTAGCACCAACCCAGCCATCACATGGGGGATTTCTATCTGGGATGTCTTTAGCATGCTTGCAGACTCTTGAGGGACCAGCAGAATTAATTGTATCTCGGGTAATGTTAAACACACTTCATAGCCAGAGAAATTATTATTTGAGCTAAGCACTGTTAGCAGGCAGCCACTTCTGTGGCTGTGCGTGTACCCGGACGTTAATGTGTGTGAGAAACTCTCTTGCTGTCTGTCAGCCTCATCATCAGGGTTTCACTGAAACTGTCTTCTCTTAATTTCTGCTGCAGGTTTATGGGCTGCTGGATTCAATGGTGAGCAAAATGGTCTCTTTATTTGAGGAACTAAGGAAAAAAGGTGCTCTGAAGTGGGAGAGTGAAGCCCTTTTGTAAAGACTTCCTTTAAAGAAATGAATAAATAACCCTATTTACACAGACCAAGTGGAGAGTCTTCTTTCTGAAGCGATGCACTGATCACAGATACTGGGCTGCCTCTTGCCTGACATGCTGTGATGCAAGACTATTGCTAGATCATCTGTTACTGCCAGGGATGATCACTTGCCAAGAAGAGACAAGGCAAGAAATATCACAGCCTCAGAAACCGTTAAGAGTAGAAAATACTGGCATTTCTGCTAAGGGAGAAGAACTTAAAAGTGCCAGTCAATGTGTGCTGTGTCTTGTTCTTTGTTTCCCAATCTTGCTTGGCTAGCAGGTGAGTGAGCAGAATGTCCTTTGTACTCCTGAGCTGAGCCCAAGTACTGGGACAGTAGCTTAGAAAAACCCATCCCATTTTTGATCTTATTCTTGACTGCTTGCCCAGTCTCCTCCTGGGACTCACTGACAGCAGGCTTCAGGATCCCAGTGACAGCACACCATCCCAAGGGGTGTGCCTCCCTGCCTGGTTCTGCACCCAGCACTTTACTCCTTGTGCTGGTCTTGCCACCTCTTTCCATCCATGCCCCCTTCTGAGTCAACTCTTACTTGCTTCCTTCCAAGACTAATTGTTTTTGAATTGAAATGAGTTAAATTTGTGCTGTAAGCACTGTGAGCATGGTAGGGTGTTGTGTTGGAGCACCCCTGCTGTCTCTGGCAGCCTGTGCGTGTGCCTGGGCTCATCACCACTTTCTGTCTGGGTTTCCCTGTGCCTCACAGCTGGACTGGAGCCGTTTGTGGAGGCATCCCAGGTCCCAGTGCTGATGTGCAGCTGGGCTCGGGTGGCAGCAGGTTTCCAAGGCGGAGTGAGATGGGTGCAGGGTCTCTCTTGACCTGGTGCATGTTGGTGAGGTGCTGTCTTCCTGCTGGAGCAGCTGGACGGCATTCCCCGGAGAGGCTTTGGCCCTGTGGAGAGATGACATCAGTGTAGATGATTAACTGAGGTTTGTGGTATCTTTGGGGTTCTTAGGCAGCAGACGCCTGTCCGTGCTGAGCGTGGCTGTTCCCAGTTCTGTCCGTGGCTGTGCAGTTGCACCAGGCCCCTGTGCCTCGGGCACACGCTCTGTTACACTGGCACACGTCTGGGAGCTGCACGTACTGTCAAGTAGCTGTTCCTCCTGCACAGTTGTTTTCCTTTCTTGTTATAACTCGTGTGCTGTCTCTGGGAAGAGGATATCTTCTTCCCCAGCAAAGTGCAGCTTAGGTTTTATTGCTGGCCAGGTGAGGCCAGGTGTGTTTCAAGGTATTTTTTCTTAGTGGGGTGTGGGGAAGCACTTTGGCTTCTGTGGAAACCAGGAGCTTCTTCTGCCTTAGTGGGCACAAACCCACAAAAGGAAATACTCTGCTCA